GTGCACAGCTGTCCCCTCAGCACGGCTGAGCAGCAGAGGCTGAAGATGTTCCTGGATTGAGCAACCACTGCCCAGACCCTGAACAGTTCATAGCTACCCAGGGAAAGAGCTACAGGTGGGGTTGTTGAAAGAATAGGCATTCTGGCTGGAAATTTTGGACCTTTGTAGAGTGACTACCAGAAAGGAAATCACAGAATCTTGAAATGGTTTGTGTTGGAAAGGATCTTAAAGACTATATAGTTCCAACCTTCACATGAATGGGCAGGACACTAGATCAAGTTCTCTATTCAATCTGGCCTTGAATATTTCAAGGGATGAGGCATCTCTAAATTCTCTGGGAAACCTGTTTTAGTACCTTACCACCCTCACAGTAAAGAATTTTATCCTAATATCCAACCTATCTCATCTCTTTCAGTTTGAAGCCATTTCTCTCTGTCCTGTCACTACATGCTCTTGGATATACTCTTTATCAATCTTTTTGTAAGCCCCCTTCACATACTGGAAGGTTGCAATTTAGTTACTCCAAAGCCATCTGTTTTTCAGGCTGAACAATCCCAATTCTCTTAGCCTTAGGAATGTGGCATCAAGAGTGAATTTGGCTTGGTGAGGCACACGTAGCAGCAAAAAGAGGACACGCAGTGCCTATCACAGCACAGCAGGCAGCACTGTGAGTGTAAACAGAACTCTTGCAACACAGGCCTGGCTGACACCCCAAGGTGGCTCTATGCATTTCTGTATTCACATGCTGGGTGTGAGAAGAGCCACATTTGAATTGGGTCTGGCTGAGATAGAATTCATTTCCCCATAGCATCCTCCCAGTGCTGTACTTTGCACAAGTTCCTAGGAAGGGGTTGATAACACGCCCGTTTTTTGGTTGCTGCTGAGCAGTGCTGATGCAGATTCATGGCTGTGTTCCCAACATTCCCCGCCCCATCAGTAGAGCTTGTGAGGGGACACAAGCAGGAAGGCAGAGCAAAACTGACCAAAGAGAAATTCCATATCATATGACAGCTCAGATATAAAAGCCAAGAAAAAGAGGAGAAGAGGAGGGGTATCTGGTATTTACAATGTTTGCCTTCCAGAGTAAGCACTTGCCAGGATGTGGGTGATCATCTCTTGTTGACAGGAAGTAGAGAATAATTTTTTTTTCTCTTTGCTTCTGTGCACACAACCTTTCAGCTTTGCTTTAGCAAACTGCTTTATTTCATCCTACAAGTCATCATTTCCGACGTTA